GAGAGAGGTGAGCTGAGGCTTCCCGGATGCCCGGGGCTGCTTCCTAGAGCTATCGGTGGTTTTTTTGGCCGATGCGGGAGCTACAGGTAGCTCTCCGAAGTGGGAGGAAGATTCGCCGGTGAATGTTTCCATTTATAAATGCTCGTCTGGTCGCCGGTGGCTTCAAAGGCATATGTGAGCTCTCCCAGGGTTACCCAAGTTCATGTGTCTATGTCTGGTTTTTCTTTCCTTTTTTTAGCCAATTTAGTTGAAGGCTTGAACTCCACAGACCCAACTGTCCAGGAAAAAGCCCTTGCCGAGACAGAGAACAGGCTCCGTGATAAAGAGGCTAGTGAGGAGGAAGAATGCAGGACAAAGGCGAACAGAACAGTGATCAACACGCGAGCTTCCGTAAGGCTTAACTCTTCCTTTGCAATTTAAACCGCGCGTGCTTGAGGTCTTTTAAATGATGTGAATTCACACATCTTGCCCCAGAGGAAAAAGCTGGGAAGAAGGCATACAAATATACTTTGAACATGACTTGATTTTCTTCACTAGCAATCTTATTGGAAGATACTTAATGTTGTGTTTTGTCTGAAGACTGCTATGAAAACACAATATTTCCCTTGGACTTATAGAAGCTGGATGCAACTATGCAGATGCCACAAAACGTAGCTTCTACTTGCACTTCAGGGGATTGAGCAAAGCTAGTGGAAGACATAAGAGTCCTTTCGTTAATTTCATTAGGCTTAGGTTCATCTAGTAAGATCTGGACCTCAATGATTTGCCTTATTAAAGATACAAATAGAAGCTTTCTGCTACTTCTGAAAGCTTTACATTCTTTGTTGAAGTGTCAGTTTGACATTCCCACTGTGTTTCAGTGCCTCTGTCACTTTGAACAACTGAACCGCGTGCTCCTTTGCTGCTATGGATTTTCCTAAAATACCTGCATATGAACATGGGAACATGTGTTTCTCTTTTTTAGGGCATGGAAAATGTGGAAGCAGTGAATTCAGGTAGGATATTGTTCCCCCTAATACTTAGTTCCTCTTCAGTCTTATTCTGGCCGAGTTAAGGTGAGGATTGCTGTTACCTCATGCAAGGCCTAAGCTCACTCCCATTACAGTCAAAGCTAATTTTTCTTCAGATTTTAATGAACATTCAGTCAGATTAAGCAACACATGCATGAGTCTTAGCAGTATGGCTGCATTTGTTCATAGGGAGGAAGCATCTTGGTTTAGTTTGTCATCCAATCCTGGCTTTTCATCTAAAATTTCATTATTCCATATTTAAAAGAAACAAGGTTATCTCTAGAGATGAGCTGCTTAGAGGCAAGTGTGCAAATTCTGAATTGGTAGGATGGCCTTATGTATAATAGGTTATCGTTCACTTCACTTTCCAGTTTGATACTGGATTATTGAAATGTCCTCTTAAGACTTTCTTTGCGGAGAAATGACTTGGAAATACCTCAAAAATGACTTTTGTCTCATCTGCAGTAGGATTTTAATGAAGTGTCTTTTTTGTTTGTTTTTGGCTGAAACTCCACTAACTCTCCTGGCTCAAAGACGGCTTTCTGGCAGTTTTGGAAAAGGATGCGAAAGAGCGTGCTAAACGAAGAAAGAGAAATGAACACCTAGCGAATGGTAATTGCTAAAGTCTTTTCTAGCTAAAGTCTTCAGGAACTATTTAGAAGGGACTGGATGATTTAACAGGCTGTTGTGCTACTCTCTGACTGCCACTCTTATGCACACTGAGGTAGTGATGTGGTATTTCTGAGTTCAGTAATTTCTGCACAGTGTTGATTAGCTGAAACAAGGTTATATACAGTTATATACAGTACAGTTGCTGCAACACATTTTTCTCTCTACTCTTCTCCTTATGATAAAGTTTTGGGATGGAGGGAGAGAGTTTCAGTATTTGAAAACTAGGCTGAGCAAAGCAAAGACAAATGCTCAGAGTATGTGTTCTAAAGGATGAACGGAGGCCGTGTACGTGAGATAGCTCAGAAGTCTCTTACAAAGTATGGCTGATGACAGCTGCAGAAGAGCTGTGATTGTTGCAACAGGAGAACACGGCCTCTGTTTCTTCCTCAGTCGCCATTTGGAAGCAAATGTTATTTTGAATGTGTGTATGTTGTTCTACAGCTCTGAAAGAGAAAGGAAATGTTGCCTTCAGGAAAGGAGACTATGTCACCGCCATTGAGAAATACACTGAAGGTCTAGAAAAGCTGAAGGACAAGCAGGAGCTTTACACAAACAGAGCACAGGTCAGCATGCAAAAGCGAGCCACCAGTATACTGCTTTCAGGGTACTATTGCCAAGATAGAACGCAAAAGGGTCCTCTGGGTGCAAGTGCTTCAGCAAATGCATTGCACGATTTATATGTATCTTGTGTACCTTTAAAAGCTAGTAATGTGTTACGAGAAAATCCAAAGGAATCTGAAAGGTTGAAGTTCAGGTAAATTGTATGGAGGAGGACCTCAGCATTCAAGTTGCTTTACAATGGCATTAGAGACCTGATTTCTTGCCAAGAGATTATGGTATTCGTTGGTCTGTCTTGCTAAGATGACTCATTTGTAGTATCTCAACGTCTTATTACAGTCTTAATGAAAGAATTGCACAAAGATCATTAGAGATGTAAATTATTTGCTTTCTATCTAATGTCTCTGAATTCCAGAAAGCTTTCCCTGCTGTGTCTGATCCTTGCTGAGAGTGCAGTCAAACCTTCTCCCTCTTTGATATGGCACAGGTCAATCCCTGCTCCCTCAAAAGAAGTAAAAATTGTCTCATGTATAGTTTTCTTGAAATGCACTACCTTGTTTTCAATTATCGTTTTTATAGTTGCAGAATGATAACGTTTCTTTTGTGTTCTCTACTTGTCTGGACTAATCCATACGTGTGCATTGAATTCTCTCTCTTTTTTTTCATGTTTATTCTAAATGACAAACAACCACAGTGAGATGGGAGAAAGGTTAAGAAACTGCTGATAATCATGCTTTAAAAAAAATCCATGTATAGGCAGATCAACAGGCTAATTTTTAGTTTATGTTTGCCAAATAGTTAGGGGAAGAAGTACTGAATAGTCTTAATTTTTCTGCCTGGACTCTCTTGGTTTTTAATTTCAGGCCTACCTGAAGATGCACGAATATGAGAAGGCCATTGGTGACTGTGAATGGGCTTTAAAGGTAACTTCAGGTTTCTGTCTTTTGTGATCAGGTCAAGTGCCCATGGGAGAAGGATTTGGGTATAATGATGGTGTGGAGACAACTCATTAATGGAAATGAAAGAATGTGGTGGTTTACAGATTTGTGCATCCATTTTGCTTGCTACAAAGAAATTAACATTTCAGTGCTGCCTGTATGGAAAAGTTTTCTGTCTCTTAGGAATTTGTAATTGAAACATTTGTGGTAAACAGTTTATTATCACTTGTAACACAAATTGGCAGACAATGTCTTGTCCATCTTTCTCTTAAAAAAAAAAAAAAAACACACACACACAAAGAGGAACTATTCATGTGCTGATGGAACAGGTGAAGATAATATAAAATACTGAAAAGCTGAATCCAGATTCAGTTGTGTTACATCAGCGATGCCCGTTGAGTATGATGTGATTGAGAGAGCATTAATAATATTTGCAGCCTCATTTCAGGAAATCAGTATTTTTCAAAAAGATGATCGAGCTGGAAGAGATCAGCTAGTCTATTAGCACTGAGTTAGATGTTTCTTAATTTTTCTATACAGCTAGTGACAATTAATACTCATGTCATTCTAGAACTAATCAAAAGAGATGTGGAGGTTCTATTAAGGCCTAACATACAAGCCTCACACAGCAAAAAGTGGCTTGCATGCAGAAAATGTGCAATAACACAAAGGCAGCCTGAAGTTATAAGAGTCAGAACAATCTCTTTGTTAATTGCCCTGCAGTTGAAGGAGGATCTTACTGTACAGTTGAGTTCTTGGCCACATTTTTCTTGCCTTTAGATGCCTAGTGAATGCTTCTGGCTTCAAAACATCAGGGTGTTCCCTAGCTATGGTTTTTGATTCCACCCTTGCCATTTTGCTTTCAAGTGGGGGAAATACATTGGTTTCCCTGTGGTACAAAATTCTGACAGTGTTCTTTACTTTTTTTAATTTTTCCCCATCACTCTTTATCTTAACATCAGTTGACTCCATGGTCTTCCTTATCATAGTTCAGTACAGAAATTTAAAATGCTTGCAGGTGTATGAGAATAAACTGCTACATGGGAGTAAGCATACTTGAAAAAATTTAACCTGGACAGCTGAATTGCATTTTAAGTATGTGTCGTGTCTTGATAAAATATGTCCTTAGGCACCTTACTTGGAGACTCTAAGATCTTACTGTTATTGTTATATACATTTTTATGCCTAGGGAATCTATTAGCTGTCAGGTTTGGAAAGGTGGAAGCAACGGAAACCTTACAAATCTAGAATTCATGTGAAGGTGATGGTAGACGTCCTCATGCAAGTCTAAATGTTACCTAAGAGCGTGAGAGTCTGCTGGAATTACCTAAAGGCGGTTTTCTGGGATGGATGTTAGCACCAGCTGCTTCCAACCTTTACGCAGACCAAGGCCAAAGCCTATGTTCCTTGCACAGGCAAAAGGGGAAAGTTAGTACCTGAAAGTAATTCAGTGTGTAGACATTAGATTCCTCTAGTAGAAGGTGTGAATATCTCCTTCTATGCTTACCATTACTTTTGGGCAGTTATAACTGTGTTAGCCAGAAGTCTGGAAAAATATGTAATGATTCAAAACTCTGAACGCTTTGAGGTGTGTGGGGTTTGTTTTTGTTGTTTTGTTTTGCTAGGTTTTTTTTTTTTTTCATCTTTTACACAGTGCGATGAAAAATGTATTAAAGCCTATTTTCAGATGGGGAAAGCTCACCTGGCACTTAAACACTTCAGTGAGGTAAGTTGACTAAGTCTTGCGGGCATACAGCCATATTTTGTTTTGTTTTTGAACAAATTTGTGATTAAATGCAAGATACTTTACTACATTCCTAACAAACTTAACCCTTTTAGTACAAGCCCCACAAAACTTCAAAAATTATGAAGAGCCCAAAGAGAGCAGGCAAGATCAAAAGCATTTCTGATTCTTTCAGAAATGCCGGTAATACAGTAATTATAGAAGATGGACTACGCAAATCTATACCAAGTCTGCCTTGGATTTCCTGGCAGCTCAGACGGTTCTTCCTTGTCCCAAACCTGTGATCAGTTTAATTGGGAACATACACACAAATCAAATCCCTGCTGATAGTTTAAAAATGAAGGAACTATGTGTTATGCGTTATTTGCTGTTTTATCACTGGAAACTTGGCTTGTTTTGTTCCTACTAGTATATTCCTAGGTTTGCATTTCAAATTTTCCTTTTCATTTAGAATAGCAGACTTAAGTAGTGCCTGATGATCATAGTCATCTGGCACTTCCAATTGTGAAGGTTTTGACTTGTCTCTCTTTATAATTTTTATTTTTCACACTTACTGAAAGTGTTGTGGTCCAAAACCTGTTCAACTTAAACAGAATGAATCTGTCTAGGATAGACTTTTTATCATCTTCCCATTTCATCTTAATTTAAGAGTCTGCTCTCTGTTAAGTCCAGGCAGTGCTATCAGAAGATCTTAGAAATTGATCCCCAAAAGGAAAGCTTATTTAAAGGTAAGAAATCTAAATTTTATACTCTGTGGCCTTGCTTTCTAATCAAAATGCAACATAAAATCAAATGCACTGCCCTACTTTTCAAAACTTTTAATGGAGTCTTTTCATGCAGCTTTTGTGTCCAGCTGTGGCTTGTGTTTAAGCCCTGTGAAGCACAGCCATGGGTCGTTGTAGAAAGTCGAGTGCTCCCTCTGTCATGGAGCCAGTTTCATTTTTTTGACTTGAAGCTTTACTGTGTTAGAATACTTAATCTAACCGGATTTTACTTTCTTTTGATTTCCAAGATTGCATGAATGAAGTAAACTTAGAGGAAAAAAGAATGGATGAGGAAGAGAAGGCGCTGAAGGAATTTCAGTCTGGCAAGTTTACAGCTTTGTCCGTGAAAGAACTGCTGCACAAACTTGATAGGCCTGACCAGAACATCCTCTACTATACTGGAGGGATCAGAGTTTTGACAGGAGCCATGAAAGACTGTAAGTAGTTGATGCCAAGTTTGTTGGTTATAGGGGAGTTGGAATCCAAGTAGACAGATATTTTTAGGAAAATTGGAGTAGGTTTTGAAGGATCAGGAAGACTCTGTTTAAAAAAGACAAATCAACAGTATGTTTGATATGTCAAAGGTTTTGTCCAGCAAATCTATTTTCATACCTAAATTGATAGCGTAGCTGAACTGCTAAGACTCCTCAGGGATTCAAGCATTGATTTGGATCATTTAATTTGTTTTGGAATGTTTGTAATTGTTGGTTAAAGCATATTGATTTGCAAAGCCAGTCTTACGTTTTAAGTCTTCCTAAAAAGCCTTTAAAGTTGTCAATCATTCTGTACAGTGCCTGGCATGAATTAGAACAGTCTTCAGCTTTAAAGCTGTTTCTACTTCAATTAGTGTTCTGAGGACTTTTTCTCTTTTAATGATGCAACCCCCCCCCCTCCACCCTGCCCCAAGCTGTTAATCCAGTGACCTTATCCTTTAACACTGTATTACAGAAGAGCAGGAGTCTGCCTTGATCGTGATACATCAGCCAGAGGGTTCACAGGGCTTATTTGGTTATATCTATTTTTTCAGGCACTGAGCAAACTTTATTTAGAACAAATGATGGATTCAGTATCATCAGTGACAACAAGGTCATAAGACAGTAAGTGCTCTCCGAAGGAGAACAGTAGGGCGTTACAACACGAGGAAATGAAAAGATATTTTCAGGAAACACAATCGCCATGTGAAATTCAGATGGAATGACTGAAAGATAATGTAACAACAGATTTTACTGTTTGAATAGACCAACTGCTATCTGACCTTTAGACAAATAGTGCTCTCTTGGATGCAGTGGACAAAATTGATGGATTTCTGCTTCCGTCTCTGATCTCCTGTTTCTGTACTCCATCTCTAATGGTGAGAGCAGGTTTGTTAACCTGTTGTAAATGACCCTCTGATGTAAAAGCTTAGTTGCTTTAAGAGTATCTGGCTAGACTCCCTGCTCCTATAAATTGACATAGGTAAATATCTGGCTCCCTAGCTCTGTAATGTAATCTGAAGAACTATTTAACCCTATAATCAAGGAAGAGGACCATCCCTGGGCACTTGTCTTCTGCCTTTTATAGCATATATGTTCTTAGCAGCCATTATATTGTGTTTTAGGTATTTGTCAGATTTGTTTCTTGATTACTATGTAAATTGCTCCCTAAACTCTGTCTTAGGTGGGATCTATTCTCTGAAGGTGTATTTGAGTCAGGTTCAGATAGACAATGGAAACCAAAGACCTGTGCAAAAGATTTGATTTGCATTTTTTGCACAACGAAGTTGATTCAGAACATGATGTGGTTAAGCAGGGCAAGCAATATTCTTTTCAGTTTCAATTGTCTTTTGCTCATTTTAACAGCTAACATTTCTACTTTAGGGGCTTCTGTGCAGAGAGAAAAAACACTGCTGAAGTGGATCTGTGTGTCTCTCTTCTCTTCCTTTGGCAAGCTGTCTGCACTGGGAATGGTAAAACTGTAATCAACACTAATCATTGCTAATGCACTGTTAGTATGGTGCTTACTGTGTCTAAAACTGTTTTGTACAAATATCACTTCCTCAGAGCACTTAGGTGTAGACTTTACTATAAAAAGGGTTTGCAGGTCAAGTGCAAGTGCTGGAGATGGACTTCATCTCGTGAGGGATACAACTGCCAAAATTGCGGTTGCTGCTGGAATTTGCAGTCTGCTTCAGTGAGCACCTTAAGACTACTTAAGGAGTGGAAAGCAAGTTATGTGTGATTATTGCTTGCTGTTAGGATAGTGTCACTTCTATTTCATGTCTCTTTTTTGTTTTGTTTTTAAGAAGCTATACCATTAAAAGCAGATCTGTATAGAAATGCCATTGGAAAAGGGTGAGGTTGCTATCTTTTGGCAACCAGGGAATCAGTAATCACTGTAAGGTAGTCTTTGCCTCTAGTTCTACGAAGTTTGCAGGTAGAGGAGAAACGTGCCAGAGTGAGGGCAGTGGAGAAACGTAGCAGACTGACACCCAAGGAAGATTCAGAATGCTTGGAGTCAGCGTTTGAGCTGACTTGTGTGCCATGGGATCCAGCTGACATTTAAGACCATGTCTGTGCTTCAAGTGAAGGGGAAGACCTGATTTATATTTTACCTGTAGATGGTTAGCAGTGAATTTTGTATATATACATATATATATATATATATATATATAAAATATATATATATATGCAGGTTCACGTACAGGTTTAGCTCCATGTGCGTGCCTGGTAGGGCTTGAACAGCTTTGTGCCTAGCAGTTTGCAGACAGCTGATGAAATAGCCACGTGGAGAGAAGGAGCATTCTGTGCTCATGATTCTACTGACTGTTCTTCTGTAGCAATGCATGCTGCCCAAGAAGCTAGCATATTGCTAGTGAGAGTAGAAATTTAAACATCTAAATATATTAAAGCAGTGGAGCTGAGAGAAGAGTAGTGGTGTTCTACCTTACCATTGCTCTGCAAGGCTGTTACGCAAGATGAACAAATGAGAGGGAATGAGCCCATTAGTGGATGAAAAAGATATTAAACCTTTTAAATCATCCTCTAGAAAGAAACCTTAAGAGTAACAGGGGTTTCATTGTGCATGACTGATCATAAATCTCCTCTTTTTCAGAGGAAAATCAGCGTCTTCTGTTAACTCACCCTGATATGAATGTACAACTGTCCAAATTGCTTTCTTCTGGGGTACCAGAGATCCAAAAGGAGACCTTGGCACTCATCTCCGTCTACTCAGAAACTGATAACGGGAGGAGACTGCTGGTCAGGCACCAGGACTTAACCAAGTAATAAATGCTACAGCAATTCAGAAAATTTTCCATTTTCCCTGGGCTCCCAGAGGTTCAAACTCATTCCATTAGCACCAAGCTGAGCAGTAGATAACTGGCAAGCTTTCTGAAAATTTGTAGGAACCCGATAACTTTGAGACCTCTGCCCTAGAGTGGTAGGCCTGCTTGAGCAAAAACACTACAGTACTGGAGCAGCAGAGGTAAGAAGTTAGGTATGTGGGGACACCTGCCTTGGTAAACCTTCTAACTGTACATGTTTGTGAAGCTAAGTAGAAAGGACTTATTCTCAGAGATGTTTATGTAATTTTGAGGCATAATTACTGTTCTAAAACAGTAAGTGTATTTGTGTAGCACTCTAGCAAGAACTTGCATTGTTATCTCTTAATGGCTCGGGGTTCCAAGTTGCTATTCTCTCATCCTCTGGCAAAAGGCATTTATGATTATTCACAGTGCTGCAATGACTCAGTAAGTGGAGAAAGAAATGAGTCTGTTACCTCCTTACTGTTGTCCCGTTATTTCCTTCTACGGTTAAGCAGAGGAGAAAATCTAATGTAGTGGTTTGCATTAGATGGTTTGAAGTAACTGATGAACAGAAAAGATTCTCCAACAGACGTATGCACTTCAGTATGTGATACATCACATGAATTCCAAGACCTCTTTCCTCAAAGGGAAGGTTAATGAAACAAGCCATGTGTGAGAGGAAGTTTAATCAAGGCAGGTAATGTTGCTGTGGCTTGAAATATCAGGGCCTGAAAAAATTTTTCTGTCAGCTTCTGAAAAAGATTCTAAGACCAATTGCCAGAAAAGTGAGGATGTTTGGAAGGCCAAGTTGCAAGTACTGAACTTGTTAGCTGCTGGGCTCATTGCCAAAGCAGGAGGAGTTCGTTCTGAACTGCAGCCCTGGAGGAGGGTGGCAGGGAATTTCAGCTCAGCAGAGGAGCATGTGGGAACCCCAGGTACTGAAATGGTGTGAATGTGTGTGCAGCTCCGCATCCTAAAGCTGCAAGCACACTGTTCCAAGAGCTGAAAAGGTGACGACTGGTATGATGATCTTTCCATTCCAGCAGGAGATGAAGTTTCCGTTGCTGCTTGGGGAGATTAGTGCCTCCAGTGCCGTTGTGTTTTCTCAATACGTTCTTTTCAGTCATTCACTAGTTCTTTTCAGTCATTCACTACCAACGCTCTGACCTTCCTCACATGTGCTTACAGTCCGTTGAAATCTGTTGAAAGCTGAGTACTGTGCTGATTGTGTCCTCTGTCCTGACTAGTGCGTTCTGCTTATCTTTCCTTAGGAGGCTTGCCAGCAGCAAAGCAGCTCAGTTTCAAATGTCTTGTGGAACTTATATGCTGATGAAATGTTTTAACATTGATGGACGTTGGTGCATCTCTGTTAAAATCAGTGCAGTTGTGCAAGGAAGTACAATTTTGCAAGAGAATCTAGTGCCGAGACCTTGTTGCAGTGGCAGTTAGGTGACTGAATATGTTTGGAGGATTTAGTATATTCATCTTGGCTGAACTCCTACTGAACTCAAAGGAGTTTAAGATCACAAATTGTACTGGCGTACCTAAAATGCGATTTTGATCCTTACTTAAACCAAAGTTGACATAAGTTTGTGTATTTTTAACAGGTGGCTACAGATTTTGATGATGTTCGTCAACAGCGCTGATGCCAGGGCTAGCAGTGCCATGAACATACTGACTGATCTAACCAAAGAGGAAAAGTAACTTGCATTTCTTCATTTATTTTTAGAAAGTTGTTCTTTGAAACGCACTAAATGACCTTATCACTGTTTCTAAGGGCAACTTGCAGAGCTGTATGCTAAATGCTCTTTTGTCCCATAGACAAAGAACCACTTTACATGTGTACTAGTAGATAAGAAGCTTTGTTTGAAAGAAAAGGATTTCTGTATCTTGTAGTCCTTCTGAAACCAAGGCCTATAACGTATTTCTATGGCTGATACAAACTCTTGCCATCAGGTTTGCCCAAACGTAAGTCGGAACAAATTTGACTTATTAGTTTAGATCATAACGTAGTCTTTAATCATAAAGAGGATATTGAGAAAACGAATATATTTGCTTATTTAAATTATCCATACTGTTTTAAACCTCTCCAACTAGGACTTAGTTCCTGTACCTAGATGGTTTGCCGGCAGTGAAGTTGTTTAACTTGTGTTTTTGTTGCTGTGGTGTTGCTTAGTTTGTGTGATGTTTCCCTAGAGCTTTAAGCGTTTGATTATTGCTTTCTTTATCCTCAACAGATTCCAAACCCAGTGTCGCATCACGTTTTCCACGGGTGTTTTACCTTTATTCAGCCAGTTGCTGGTATGAAAGATCTCGGTTCCTATATTTCTTGGTAACTTGGATATAATATCTCTCATAACCATTCTTTAGTTTCACAGCCAGTTGCTTACAGATCAAACTCCTCTGTGGTAGAACTATACGCTCTGGACTGTGTTGCAGAGCCCACTGATAATATGTCAGGCCAGGATTTCACTTCTTAACTTGGCTCTAGACTGTTTTTGTTGAGACTCTAATGCACTGTCACTAACTGATTCTGTCTTGGATAGTGACTTTTCCATCCCTAAAGTGAAAGATCAGGGTTAAAAGATGACACTAGGTCACAAATGAAATAAGTGTAGCAGTTCAGGTCCCTTTACTAGCTATCATTTATTTGCACTGTAAACTTATTTACAACACTGTTAGTACAAAAACCTGCCCTCAGGAAGAAGGGAGATGATACAGAACATGGGTTCTGTTGCAAAAGGGCAGGTACAGGTGTAGCTGGAGAGCAAAATACTTTTCCGTTTCTCCAAATGA